TTGTCGCAGCTGCAAGGAACTATAGCAATGGCAAGGACATCATAACACTCCTCCTCGACCGTTGCGGCGCAGACGTCCAGATCACGCAAGAGGCTGTTGTCGCCATTGTTAAGGAATTTGATAAAGATGTAGTTACACTTCTCCTAGACCATCGCGGCGCAGACGTCCAGATCACGCAAGAAGTCCTTCTTGCAGCTGCAAGGAACTCCTGGAATGGCAAGGAAATCAGGACACTCCTCCTCGACCGTCGCGGCGCAGACGTCCAGATCACGTAAGAAGTCCTTGCCGAACCTGCAGGAAATTACAGGAATGGGAAGGACCTCATGACAGAGGACACGAGATGGTAATTTAGATATGGCTCTTAACATTTCCACCTACCCCGCACCTCCTACAGCTCATTGCATCGTCCTATTTAGTCACTGCACAACCGTGACTGAGGTCATCATTCCGGGATTTAGTGTACGTAACAGTGGCAAGTCGCGCAAAATGTGGGTACACTAGCAAGGAGCACGACCGGCTCGCACAAGCGTAGACCTTGTAGATGTTTCGAAATGGGTTGATAGTGAATGGAAGAAGTACATGTGGCACAGCTCACGATATTGTGTCAAAGATAGTACTGTGGCGCAGCGCTAAACCCCGATTTAGGATCGGGAAACGGACAGATGAAGAACCGGAGGATCCACAGGGTGTCATGATGGAAAGAAAGAGGCACATTCAGCAGATAGAACATTTTGTAGAACATAAATGTAGGTTAGTCGCATCATATAAGAATCTTTTGTTCTTAGTTCTCAGACAACGTATATCCTCTAATAACGCAAAACTAGCTAGTTAGCTTATGCAGTAACCTTTGCTACCTGCTGCGCGTGGTGCCTAATAACGTGGCTTCACCGGAAAACCATCGTGATGCAGCTCGTATTGGGCCGCACATGTACCCCTCTTTCCGTGGATTAACTAATTAATTATGCCAAAACGGGAATCGTATACACGTTGCGAGAACCCTGTATCGCATTCAATATTTGTCCAGGACCTACTACAAGGAAATAAATGCCCTCAAATATCTCTCAATTTTGTTGCGCTATCTATACCAATTTGATTCTGCGCTAACGCTCCGATGGACGAGCGACTCCAGACATGTCCGCATTTGGTGGAACCGCCTGGACACGACATATTTAGTACACCGCTCAACGACACTTTCTATGATGCCTATGCATACGACGTTTTAGATCCAGTCAAGCGTGAGATACGACTACTCAAGGTTCTTCCAGACCGTGGCGATGGATGGATCAGATGCGAATTGCAATGCAAACAACCCCTTAGTGCCATTACTGGAAAGTACTCTGCGCTGTCATATTGCGCGGGAAATCCGAAAAAGACGCAACAGGTAATTGTCAGTGGTGTCAAATTCCGAGTGTTCGCAAATCTGGCACAGGCTCTTGCAGAAGCGCGCTACTTCTGGAAGAGGATTCATGGCACAAGAGAGCTTCTCCTGTAGGTTGATCAAATATGCATAGATCAGCAGAACATACCTGAGAGATCTCATCAAGTTGGTCTGATGCGAGATATCTATTCTGGCGCGAAGGAGGTGTTGGTATGCTAGGCAAGGACGAGAAGTAGTGGACGAGGCATCCAATGGTTATGGCATCTCTACGAAGACGTTCCTCCGCGAAGTGACGATCTCAACAAGCAGCATCGCGGAGAGGGATATTTCAAAATTCCCATGGACACTTCCCACGCCCAGTTTCACTGGCAAAGACTCATGGGACACCTGTTGGAGAATCTTAGTAACCTGAAATTTATCGACGAATAGCTTAGGATTTACAATATCTTTGAGAGCCCTTCGTAGACAAGAGCTTGGGTGTTCTAAGAATTCATGTGCGCAGCTCACACGAATTTCCTATCTACATGTCAATCAATAGAGTGGTCGGTCTTATCACCAATTTTGGACTCCTATTTGTCAGCCGTTAGATATCTCGTCCATCAAGATGAGCTCTTCCAGAAGCTCCAAGAAAGATTAAACCTAGTTGAAGTTCTACGGCTAAACTATGTTCGAGAACGCGCAGATCGAACCATAAAAACTAAAGGAATGGTAGCCCAAATGGTCGAGAGTAAGCTTCGTTGGTCTGGGCCAACTAAGCTTAAGGACCTACTTTCTCTATCTCGCAATTATGCGGCTTCGGATATTCGAGACTCCATTTACGCTTTTGGGGGACTAGCTCATCCAGGCTACGGGATTATACCAGACTACTCTCCTAGAAAGTCTATGCGTGATCTTCTCGTCGAAGTTACAAAGAAGATCATTCACTTTAATAATAGCCTAGAGATCTTAATGCATGCTTAGGATAAAGGCACTTTCATCAACTCACTTCCTTCTTAGGTACCGGATTGGACCTACAAAGAAGAGTTGGCAAATCGTTTAATTCTAAAAGCTAAATTAACGTGTCCAAAGGAGTCCTACTCTCCTGGCTAGGGCGAGGCAAATGCTTCCTTCAACTTACTAGTCACTAATGAGTATTGTATGGCCTTAATAGCTTAGGTTGTATTTGTTAATATTTTACATTAGGAAGTTCCCAAAGGAACTACTACTTACGACTAGTTAAAAGTATTCCATATACTTAGTAGGCACTAAGTTATGTGCACATCTCACGTAGAGATTTTAGACGAACTCTAGGTGGTTTATGG